ATTAAAAGAAATACAGAACATTTGGCGTCCCATATTAAATAAATAAATTACCAGGGCAATGGGTCAAAAAAGAGGACTTTCCCGTATAATACAGGACGGATGGTCACCGTATACATACTACAAGGTTGATTTTTCTTCAGGACATTTGTTCAAATAAAATTGAAGTAAAACAGTATTCTATATTTGCGTTCCAGTCTTAACATATCGGAAAATTGCAGTTTAATATTTCAAAATTTGTCTTTTCTATCGAATATTACATTATTTAATACTCTGCAGAACTGCATAGTGAAAAGGTAAAATTATAAGCGCTGCAATTTAAATACACCAAGCTTTTAATCTGCATTCAGGAACTGTGCGTATTTCCTACCTTTGCTTATGAAAAATAATCCCAAACATTTTTGGGCAACATCATAAGTACAACTAGCCTATTGTCATAGGTGAATGAAAAAAAAAAATGTCAAACAAAGCTTTTAACAAGTAAAATAGTGAAAAAATAAATGGCCGGTAAGGCAGCCAAAAAATGAAAATAAATTTTTTTCCAAACTGTACTTACAGCGCTTGAAATCCACAGCCAAGCTCCTTGAGGGCATACTCACGCTTACGCAAAATAAAATTAAATGAACCTAGCCAAACTATAGAGTAGCCATTTGTTTAGAGATTAGAGCCAGTAAAAAGTAGCTACCGTAAAAAAGTTACCCTCGCCGCAGCATTGTTGTTGACTATTAGCTGAGGTCGTCGCATTAACTGCGTTGTTGGTCTAACACTGAAACATTTGTTGATTGCCCTGCGGCGACAGAGGCAGAGTGTCGCTTCCATGTATGTGTGCGTTAAGCCCACCTGACCGTTATAATATAAGCCAAAGTTCCATTTTGGTGCCACTAAATGGCACCCCTGATAATTCGTTTCGAGTACGCAGTTATTATTTTTAGCTCTTGCTTTAACATTAGCGTCTACATTTATTTAACTTTCAGTTTTATCGTGGCGAATGTATGTATGTATGTAGCTACGTACATTAGACCATATCACCTTAAAAGCAAACAAAAAAAGTTCGCCGTACACCTCTCATGTCCTTAGAAACCGCCCTTCACTCATAAATATTTTGTGGTAGGAGCCTTCCTTGATAACGAGGTGACTTTTAATAATGTCCTGTCGGTGATAATCGTGAATAGGGGCATCCCGCAGGGAGGTATCCTCTCACCCTTACTCTGGGCCGTACTGCTGAACGATCTACTAGAGGAGCTGTCGGGTAATTGTCTAAGAAAACGATGTTGGACACGCTTTATGAACTGACCAACCAGCATCTTAATATGGCCAAAAGTGGCCTCGCCGTCAACTCCGGTAAGGCAGAACTGGTCTTATTCACTAGAAAATATAAATTTCCTGACGCTGTTCCCTCAGTTGAAGGTCAAAGCTTACAACTGTCTGACAAGGTCAAGTACTTGGGCTTGATCCTTGACAAGAAGTTGTCGTGGAGGCCAAACTTCGAAAAAGGACATGGAAGGGATTAGTGGCCATTGGAAAGAGATGGAATATTTCACCCAAAGTTGTCTATTGGCTCTACGAGACCGTAGCCAAGTTTATTAGGTTTTATGGCGCCCTAGTTTGGTGTAACTCACTTGAAAAGGCTATACTAGTTAAGCAGCTGGAGGACGTAAAACGAGCTGCGTTAGTGGGGTACTGAGGATAACTCGCACTTTGGCACTTACCGTAATGCTGAACGCAGTGTATGTCTGAAGTTCTAGGGGCCTTCGATTTCATCCCTGATCGCACGGATATCCCTGTTGCTATTCACAGATTACTGGGTCACCGAAATGGCTCCTAGCAGCTTCTTCTCAGCCTACCTTCGCCCAAGGGTGGTTTGAGCCTGGCGTCCAGAGGTTTGCATCAGAATTAAGTTCAGGCTTACGGACTGCTGCAGTGTATTTCAGGCGAAAGTGGCTGCCATATAGGAGGCGGTGGAGTCACTGCTCAGGTATGCGATGACAGTCAGGGAGGTGAGCATTTATTCTGGGTTTCAGTACTAAACCGAGATCTTGAGGTCAGTGAACTTTGGAAAAAAATCACTGCTCGAGACAAAAACATCAATGTATCCCACTGTAAATGCCGAGGATATAACTTTCGGTCAAAAAACAAAAATATTTTTCCAAGTCGCCTTGCCAAAATACTTTGAATGTGTACGCCGACCTTTTTTTCTGGTACGGTCTAATGTGCATAGGTGGACATATCTGAATTACAACGAATTATATTTACGCTTCTGGTCTGGGTTTCAGTTATGTAATAATTTTTTTTTTTGTATATGAGTAGACTTTAAAACCGCCCAGGTTTGTATTTTTGGCTGCAATTTTTTGTATGCAAATTAATCTGTTTGCTTTACCAATATTCACTGGTTCTTTGGCAATCACAAGTGCTTGCTTGTACGAATGTTGGTTAATGCCGCGCATAGGCGCCATAATTTATTTCGCTTTACTGTAATGCCACTACAACCATTGAAATCTCTTAATTATGATTTAAGTGACCTTAGCTTGCAACAAAGACCTTAAATTTACTTGAAATAAATCAAAATATTTTTGAAATTTCCAGCGACGCTCTGGCCGAAGGAGCTTGTTTGTGGTACGCTGACAGAAAACAAAATTAATTACTTTTTATGTTGGGCAAGCAAATTTTTAGTATGTTTAATTGTAAGCGTTTTTTCATGCTAGAGTTTGTCTTTTGTTATATGGCAATTGAGTAGGGTATATGCAAAAACTTCATAAGTTTCATAAAGCAAATTTTAATGTACATGCAGCAGTGCATAGTGTACATTTAGGCGCTTGGTGCTAGTAGTCGCGCCTGAAAAATTCATGAAAAATATCAAAATACTTCAAAGCTGTACAGTAAAACGCTTGGATGGTGAAAGCTTCATAAAAAAATATCAGCTCAAAGGCGAGGGGTACATTAGGAAAAGTCTATCATGATATAAAAAACTGAGTGTGATCCCCACACAAGGAAAAAGTAAAACCTTATAGAGAAAAATCCAGAGAGGAAGAAGTCTGCAGAATACATTCTTAAAAAGTTTATCTTTATTTTTTCTTTCAGGAGCTTTATTATTATTCAGCTTTTTTATAATAAACTGCTAAGCTTGCTTATGATAATTTGAAAAATTATCTTAGGCTTAATGCAAATCTCAATCTCAGTCTCAATTCTTTAGATTATCTTTATTTTTATATTTATGAAAATTTTTAGTATATTTTTAAGACTTATGATGATATAGAACCAATGATGAAAAGAACGTTGAGCACATATCTTCAGCCGTTTGATGTCAGGCATCTCAACTTCCACTAGGCTTGCTTGTCAAGAGAACCAACCTAATATTGATGCACAAAATCAAGGAATACGAACCAGAGAACCGAGTCTAATGGAATTGAAACTAGATTCCTAAAGTCTCGAAAAATGATTTGAGACGAACCGAAACTCGATTCCAAAAGAACGGAGAACCAGACCCAAAAACGGGTTGCGGGTGAACCCAAACTAGTTTCCAAAATAAGTGCAAAGAGCTAAAAAAAAACACACTTCAAAAGATTCGGCACCAAAGATGACATGGCACTATGGACAACATAAATAAAAAAATGTATTTGCTAAATTAGAATACTTACGTATCAGAATATCGTTGAATTATTTTAATATCTACTTATTGCAAAATTTTATACAGACAAGACTAAAAAGTGGAAAATAAATAAAATAAAAAATTTTTTAATACATATACCAGGCTTTTAAAAAGATTTTTTATTTTATTTTATTTTATTTTATTTTATTTTTTCTTTGAATTTAATTTATTTTTTAAATTATTATTAATTTATTCAATTTTCTTCCTCATTTCTGACGCTTTCAAAACCACGTCAGCGTTAAAAAAGCAGCGCCAACATTACTTTGTTTTAATTGAAACCTTAACGTGGAAAATGCATACTAAATTAAATTTCATGTATTTTATTTTTATAACATTTTTGTCACACAAATATCAACTAAGGAATGGGGATATACAGTTCATCTAAAGTAGTGTTTGCATTGGTCAACTTTAAACCTCGTAAATATACTTGATTTTGTATGGAAAATCGAGGTTTACGCGGATGCGAAGCATTTACGCGTTTCCGTGAATACCCATAATATACTTATTTATTTTCTTAAGTTAGCTTTATAATGAAAATATTAAAAAAATCAAGTTTCTTAAAAATATTTTAATACTATTGTTTAGCTTATTTTTATAGTGCCTATTATTGTTATCTTTTTTTAGAATCGAAACCAACCTAAATTCCCGGTTCTGCTTAGAACTGTACTCGACAGAAACGTTTCTGTATTTTTTTAATATATATACTTTAGGACGGGTCAACTTTTTATTTATTTATTTTTTTTTTTTACTATGCGCCTATAGCATAGAGGGATTCTTCGTGTAATTCTAAGCAAATTTGCCGAAGAAATCATGGGTCTAAAATCAATTTGGAGTTTGACGAATCTGTAAATTTTCAATGTTGCGGCCCCTGGCGGAAGTTTTAAGACAAATATGAGTGCTGAAATGCATTCCTTATACCAAAAAATCTCTTACAGCATGTTTGTATACAAAATTTAAGTCATTCTTTACGACACTAAGCCAAAACTCTAAACTGATTGTTGATCCAAATTTGTTTAGACTTACACGCAGAATCCTTCAGTGCTATACGCACATAGTGGAAAAAGACTCCCATACAAATTGAGCCGCTCTAATATATATTCATACATCTCAAATGTGGACAACGAAGTCAGAAGTGCTGATGAACGCAATGGAAGGACCAACTTCAGAAGGACATGGCAGAACTAAGCATGAATAACTGGCCTTACTTTCCAAAAGGCAGAAACAAATGACAAAGTATTTTATGAATCGATCGAAAGTAAAAACGAGTTTTTTGTCAAATTATAAGCAAAAATTTAATAAACTCCAATTATATCTCACCTTGTTTAGCAATTATTTATAAACATCTCAGTGGTTAAAAGTAATACAGTAAAATAAGGTTTGATGAGAAGTTAATTATCTAAATAAAATTCTAGGCTTCTAGTAATAACAGTTATTTTATATTAACTTTTAGAACAAATTAACTCTCTCTTTGTTTTTAGTTAAGGGGTGACTATTTTGCTCACCACCACTATTTAATAAATACACAACACACCCAATACTAAGTATTTTTATTTAAGAATAATACTTTTCTTCAAAACTAATTTACTCCAAGTCTATATATACGTAAAGCATAGAAAACAAACTAAATAATTAACATTTGAGTCCACAGGCTGCTCACTTCCTCTGTTAATTCACGAATATGAAATTTATTTTAACAACTGTTTGTTTAGTTTACCTAAGAACAAGCGTTAAAAAAAAATTAAATGCCATAAACGTCAACAACGAAATTATAGCCACGCCACCATTGGCTAGTGAAATGTAACTCCACATGATCAAAGCCAGGACCACCATTAGTCAGGGTCGCATAGCCACCATTGCCATTTGTATATTGATCCTTAACCATCATATAAGTAATTTTAGCCGGCCTTGGTACACCCTAAAATAAAGCCGAAGGTGAAATAAAAACAAAAAAAAAATTAGTTTCACAACACTCTGCAACAAAACACGTCTTTTTAATTAGCACACCTTCTGTTCGTAGATAAAGTCACCCCTTTTCTTTTGCATTATAGCCGATTTAGCAAAGGCGACTTTGCGTATCAAATGTTGATCGCCTGGTATACGCGTACCCAATATGAGGTCATGACTTAATGTAGAATTAGCAGCTACAACGGCGAATAATGCAATAAACGCTATAAAAGCAAAAAACAATTTCATTTTCTTGCTCTAAGAGTTTTTGTTTTTGTTTTTGATGTTCTGCGATTTTTACTTAAATATCCTCGTACTGCACGTTGATTCTGCGGCTTTAAATTGCAAACTGATGGCAAAAATTAAATTTTGCACTATTTTGGCTGGAGAATCGGATGTGAAAACTACTGTTGGTTGTTGTTGATAAATATATGTATGTATGTGTATGTAAACACGACTAAATTCTAGGTAATTCTTATCGCGAAGGCGAAACAGTTGTTTAAATAAATGTTATATTTGTGCGTCAGCAGAGGAACTGAGTGACAAAAGTTTAAGGTAGTCTGTATGTAGATTAAAAAGTTAATAGGAATCTTTCGTTTTTATTATATTTTAAGTATCTTTTATAGTTTAAGCAAATACAAATATGGACACGCTACTGATTGTTTCATTGGTGGATTTCGCTTTATCAAGATGAATAAATATTTACGTTTAAACACATCCGAATGCTTACACACATACATAAACAGCGGTTGCCACATAATTATTTTTCTTTATTTATTTTTTATAAAATGTGTATTTTTTCTATACTACAACAAAACCGATGCAACTCAAAGTTTCCAGCCTTGTACAAGATTTACTTAAACTTTTGAATCAGAACTTTTAGAAAAAAGAATCGCACAATGTTTAGCTGAGGGAGAGCGGGAGACCAGGTTTAAAGGCGACCATATATATTAATTGGGGGACTCCATTGGAGGAGTCGTGCTCTCGCTGCCGTAGGCTGCTGTGCAATGAGCTGGGATTTATTTGGGGGACTCCATTGGAGGAGTCATGCTCTAGCTGCCGTAGGCTGCTG